CCTGCTGGTCGTCATTCCGTTCTTCTGCATGGAATCAGCTTGAAGTCGCTTGTCTTTGGATTTATTTAAAATCTGAATTAAAAGTTTCTGACATAACTCCAGGCCGTGTGGGAGCAGCAGGAAGCTCAGTGGAGGACCCTGGGACTTGCAGGCGGGAGCTCAGTGGAAATGGGGTTTCTGAGCCCCAATCTATCTGCTGCCTCTGTGCCTGGGCAGGTGCAGCAGGCGGCCTCCTGAGCCCCGTGACCGGAGGGAAGTGATACCGTGGTGACAGGCTATCGGCTGCCGTTCGTGCCAGGGCCGTGAGGGACGCCTGTGCAAACAGCAGGGAGCTACTCCTAACTCCAGCATGTTTTTGTTGGATTAGAAAAATGCAGTTGAACTTGGAGATTTTTCAGTTCCTTTAAAACATTCATGTTTCAAAGCATCATTTCCCAGCTGCCTTTTAACTCTCCAGGCCTGCACTTGTGCAGGTAGAGAGGTGGCTGCTGAGTGGGGAGGAGGCAGCTCCGTTTCTCAGTCTCACTCTCCCTGGTAGGAAGCCCTGCTTCCCAGGGGGCACTGCCTTCGCGCCATGACAGATGCTTTTCTGTAGGAAGGTCCGTTCAAGGAAAGACAGGGCTGAGAGCGGAAATAGCTGATAGGATTTTGTGATTAATATGAAAGCTGTTTAATATTCTATTAAATTCTAATATGAAAGGTAGTTCTAAAATGAAAGCTATTTAACATTCACCTACTGAAGAGAGAAAATGTGGTGTGTTGCTGAGTAGATGCATACCGAGAGCTCAAAGGGCATGTGTGGGAGATAGCATCACCTGACCTGCAATCCGGAGGGCGTCCGTAGGCGGTGCCCCCGGGAGCCTGTGCCCCTGGGAGCCTGTGCCCCTGGGAGCCTGTGCAGCTGGGTACTCGTGTCTCTTATGCCAACTGTGACGAAAGATGGCCGTGGCTAGGAGCAGGAGCACTGGCAAAAGTCTAAGTCATATGAGGGTGAAGCACTATCTCCAAATTAGCAGAAACAGCCAGGATCCCTTACAAGGGACGCTGAGAATTAGAGAACCATCTAATTTTAGAGCTGGGAGATCCATCCAAACCTGACATTTTGCTGATAGGAATACTGTTGGCTTAGAAGAGTGTGATGACATGTCACGGTTCATTCAAGACGAGGAAGGCTGAGATCCGAGGAGCACAGTCCAGCTCTCTGTCCTTCCCCGCCCCCTCCCTGTCCTCGCTGGTGTTAGATGGAGAGACGAGCTATTGCAGATCGTTCAGATAAATCATGTAGATGCATCCTGTACAGTAAGGTGGTCGTTGGTTTCTTCTGACCCTTCATCAGCACCGAGTAAGATGGTGGAAAGTTGGGACTAAGTCCCCCAATGATATAGGCATTTCTGTATAATAGTTCCTTGTCCTGTGAAAAATTCAGATGGGCGATGTGAGTAGCTGTGGCAGGAACTGATATAACTTCATGCCTTCTCCAAAGATTGCATCATATTTCGAGGGAAGTGCTCTGAGATTTTGATAGTAGTTATATTTCTATGTATATGTGTGTATAAATATATACAGGAGGAGAGGGAGGTAGGCAGGGGAGAGATGAAATGCTTAATATATATATATACACACACACACGTGTAAAATGAAATTATTAAAAGTATATATTAATATATAAAATCACAACATTGGCAGCTCTTCAAATGTTAAATATAGAGTTAGCATATCCACTCCCAGGTGTGTCTCAAGAGAACTGAAAACGTATGTCCATGCAAAACCTTGTCCACAAATGTTCATAGCACGAAGGGACAATAAAATGTGTATAGTCGTAATATTCAATAATAACAGTAGAGTATTACTCAGCCATAAAAAGGAGTAGGAGCTTCGGATACACCACAACATGGATGAACCTTGGCAGATTTTGCTCAGTGAGAGAAACCAGACACACAGGCCACCTATTCCATGATCTCATTTATATTAAATATCAAAATTAGGTGAAGTCATAGAGACAGAAAATAGATTAGTGGTTACGAGAGCCTGGGGGGGAGGAGAGAAGGGAGAATTTCTGCTAATAGGTATGGCGTTTCTTTTGGGGGTAATTAAAATCTGATGGATGCACAATTCTGTGACTATATTGAAAGCCATAAAATATACTTTAAAAATATTGATAACGTGTGCATTATATCTTAATAAAGTTCTGTTATTAAGTAGTAAATGAGTAATTTTTTAAAATTTTCATTTTCTATATGCCATGAATGACAAATTAAAAAAAATATAATGGAAAGGACAACTGCATGATAAAATTCAAGAAATTTTTAAGAGGAAAGGGGAAATTATTCTACAGATAGCAGTACATTTTAAATCTAGAAAGAGACCTAAATGCATGTATTTGGGAAGTAATATATAGTACAGATACTGTTTTTCCTCAGTGGAAAAAGTATAGGTCATTTGTGAAATAATGGTGTTCAACACTTAGCCACCCTTATCAGTTGGCCTTTTGGGTTGAAAATAGAAGAAAATACTCCTGGCAAGCTGGAGCAGAAAATGCCTTTAAAGCAGGGTGGGGAACGTCCGGCCTCATACGGCCCGTGACGTCACTTGGTCCGGCCTTGCCAAGGCCTTAGGGGTGAGTTCATTACATGCTTGACGGAATATTGCAGCTAATGTTTAGGTTGATAATTCTGTATGGCCCTGGACTCATGTTATAAACATCTACATGGCTCTTGACTGAAGAAAGGTTCCCCACCCCTGATTGAAAGGCAGGATATTGGGAAACAGCATCCGTGGGAAACCAAACTCAGAAAATGACAGCAACCAAAAGATGCTCAGGAGCCGGAGCAGCCTGCCTCGTGCCCCTGGACGCGTGGTGAGGCGGCCACAGTGCTGCGTCGCTGTTTCAGTTCTCCAGACCCACCCTGCCACCGTGACTGCGTTCTCGGGGTCCCCGCGTGCTCCTGTCACTCCCTCCGACCCCGACACGCAGCGAGCACCCAGATGCAGAGCCTGGGTGCCCGCCGAGTGCTTACTGCTGGGGGTGGGGGGGTGGCTGCCCACTTTTGCTACCAGAGTAGGGGGCGGGGCACTGGGGCATCAGCTCAGGTAGGAAGGTGCCCAAATGCTGGAGCCCACAATGCCGATTCCCACGAACGTGGGGTCAGCACAACTAGAACCGCCCGTATCTGTCAGAGACCGAAATAAACCACGTGCGTTCAGAATGTCAATGTAAAACCTGAAACCATAAAAGTATTTGAAGAACAGGCACGTGAATGTTCATGTCATCTTGGTTTGGGAACGTTGCTAAGCATGATGTAAAAATCAGAAAGCCATTAAAAATGTCAGTAAAGAATATTCTATGACTCAGGAAGGGAATCATGGTCTGTTAAACTAAAAAAAAAAAAAAAGTACATACCAGAACATAAACAGTGGTTTTCTCTGCCTCCCTCAGTCAAGTTTATTGTTGTTTTTTCAAGAGCTATTTTTAGTAAGTGGTTTGGTTGATTCTTTGTAAGAATCCAAAGATATCCGGCTCTGCACAGGCAAAATCTATGCTAAACTCTACGAAAGTGGAAACTCTTGAAAGAGCAGGTGATGAGGCCGTGTATGTAGACACCTCCATTTCTATAAAAGTAACTTGAAGGTGGCCGTTGGAATTCGCTCCATCTGGTGGCGCTTCAAGAGGGAGAACTGAATAGTTGAATGATGAGCACACCCGCGGTCATGATGTTTCTCTTGCCTCCCCTGATGTTTTTGTTTGGCTTGTTCTGTCTTGTCTCGTTTTAAAGAGAACCCATCTGCTTGACTAGAGATGGACCAGTTAGTGTAGGGTCCCGGCATCTAAGGGGAAGCATCCCGGATGTAAAGACTGCTGGACACGCTCAGTGTGGCCTTATCTCATCACTGTACGCTCTTACCCGTGAGTGAGCTGCCCCGCCATTTCCTGGTCTGGCAGCCCTTAGCCTAAGTGAGCCCTGGTATCCTCTTCCCTCTTATCTTGGATTCCTGTCCCATCTGACATGGGACACCCAGTGGGGTCTTCTAGGTAAAGGTGAGTCGCCCGAGGAGTGAAGGCTTCGCACAGAAACCCTGGTGCAAAGGGTGAAAGGAGCCTTCATGTTCCAGAAAGGCCCATCCCAGTGCATCACAGGAGCACTCCCTCCCGCCCCCCGAGACCTGGGGAAGCAGAGGAGAGAGCAGCAACGACCCCTCGCGCTTTCCTCCTCATCAAAGAGAAAGGACCATTCTGGCTCTGAATTTCTCCTTCTCAGCACCCTTAGACTTGACCATAAAGAATATCCGAATGAGTCAACATAACCTGGCAAGGACTTTCTAGTTGAAATTGTCATGATCTAAAGTTCATTTTAGAAAATCAGAGACTTCCTGGTAAACCTTTTTCTATGACCATTTCCTCAGGAGACTGTGCGTGTTTTTGTGACTTTTGTTCCTCGGTCAGAGCAGCGTGACTCTGGGCCTCTGTGGGCTTCAGTCGCCCTCCTCCATGTCCTGTGGGAGCCCCGTGGCCTGGCCTGGCCTGGCTTGAACGGGTCTGCACCTGCTCTGGTGTGCGGTGGCTTGGTTAGCGTTTCACCTGAGCCCCTTGGTGAAGTGGTGTAAACTGTGGCCTGTGTGTATTTCCTGAGCTACCCATCTCATGAGCACGTTAGACGTTGCCTCGTGTTAAAATGTCTGCTATTTTTATCTTACATTGATGTATTTGATGACTTGGAGCTGGATGATAGAAAAAATAGGGCGCTGTTGTTTCTGGCTGAAGCTGAGCAGAGCTGTCTTACCCAGTTTCCTTGACATGAGGGTCTGAGGCTGTGCGCACTGTCCATGACCCCTGGCGATGCTGTGGGTGCTGCGTCGATACCACACGGCCAAGTGCAGGAGCATTGGGCACCGTCCCTTCCCGCCCACACCCAGGCCTGGGACCAGGAGGGCAGCGGGAGCGGGCGACACACAGGGCTGGGAGGCTGCGGGTGATGACAGCCCCTCCTGCCCAACGTCCCCAGTGGCACCGGGGACAGGTGGCGAGACTCACCCCGCGCTTTTCTTGTCTCCCCAGGCGCGGCCTACTGCCAGTTCATGGACATGCTCTTTCCCGGCTGCATCAGTTTGAAGAAAGTAAAATTCCAGGCGAAGTTGGAGCACGAGTACATTCACAATTTCAAACTCCTGCAGGCGTCCTTTAAGCGGATGAATGTTGATAAGGTAGGAGACTCAGGTGCACCTCCATTCAATGCACTTTCTTTCCCTAACATTGATTCTGTGTAGAAAGGTACAGTGGATATCCATGGAATAGATCTGGCTCTCCTATCAGGAGGTTGGGGTCTGTACAAAGCATAGGGCATCAACCCTAACTTCCCACATTCGTATGAGGCTTTTAATTAAGGAGATTCCTAAACATGGAGCCATTAGACTAAAAACCCTCATAGAAATTGCAGTGTTGAACTTTGTTATCTGCTTTAGCATCGAAAGTAACAAGGGTTTATGTTTGCCAGGTGCCACTATGGTTATTTGTATATTTTGTTCCTTTAGAGAAACAGTGGTTACCGTGGAAGCAACATGGGCTGAGCAAATTATACTTAAACTAGAGGCCCGGTGCACAAAAATTTGTGCACTGGCTGGTGGGGAGGCAGTCCCTCAGCCCGACCTGTACCCTCTCACAGTCTGGGACCCCTCGGGAGATAACCACCTGCTGGCTTAGGCCCGCTCCCCGGGTGGCAGATGGCAGGCCCGATCCCGCGCTGCCCCTCCCCGCCACCCCGGGCCACACACGGGAGGCCCGGATGGTGGTGGGGCGGGCGGCAGCTCGCGCTGTGCCACCCCGCCTGCAGTGTGCAAATTTATCGGCCATCTTTGTTGGGTTAATTTGCATACTCTTCTGATTGGCTGATGGGCGTAGCAAAGGTACGGTCAATTAGCATCTTTGTCTTTTATTAGCGTGGATTCTCTGAATCTCTGTTTACCCATCTATAAAATAGGACGAAAACCCCGTTCCCTGTGGTTATACGAAGCTCAAGTGAGGGAACGTGTGAAAATGTCCGGCACGGTATATACACGCAGATTCTCTGTCCGTGTCCATAAATTGTCCTTTTTTCCCCTTTGGATTTTATAATTTTGTCCTAGAGTGATACAAATGGAGGTAGACTGGGTGCCCCCCCCCCAAAAGACGATTACTAAAGTCCATGCAGTCTGTACGTTTCCTCCATTCACATACATATGCAACCATATTATTTCCTTAGGATCTGTCTCTTAGAGGGAACAGGCTTGGAAAGAAATTAATTTTGAATAAGAGAAAATAAATAAGCCAGCAGGGAAGAAATGAAAAACTTTTCTTTGCAGAGATAATAGCAATAAATAGGCTATGGAAATAAAAACGAAAGTCCTGGGTTATTAAGAAATAGAAGTTAAATAAGGGAAAAGAGAAAGGTTTGGCAAATCGAAGATATTTTCAATTTATTGCAATTAATACCTTTCTAAATAAAAACATTCTTATCAAACGATTATTAAAATCTTAGTTTTCCTTTTCTCAGAATTTTCATTTCAAAACATATTCTCTTGAACATCTTAACCTTCCGAATGCTTTTCAGCTTCGTTTTTATGTCCTTTGCTGTGGTTCCTTTCCAGTTCGCTCCTTCAGAGCCAGGGCTGTGCAGGTTCTCCTTCCTCATTAGCAGCGTCCCCCACGTCTTCTCTCATTTTTCAGCAGCTGCTTCTAGTCTGAAAGAAACGCCCTTTTCTAGGTTTACTGATGGAGCGTGCTCTCTAACCAATCAGGGCCCCTCACTCTCCAGAAGCACAGACACACAGAGCGGAAGCGCATTGTCAAGGGTGTTGAAGATGAGGCGCTTGTAGTGGAGGAAGGCTGGCCTCGATGGTCTTTGCTGGCCTCGCCCGCTTCACGGGCTGTGATTCCACCCAGAGGCCCTTGGAGAGACGCGGCCCCTGTGCACGTCTGCCCAGAGCCTGCACTTTGCAGGGGATGCAGAGTTAAGCCAGCGGAAGTGAGTGCGTCCTGTAATGGCCAATGGGCACCATCATCTAAGTCTGTTCATTGATGTTCATGTTCGGCAGAAAGCAGAATATACAGCGTGTTAATTAAAGGGCTTCTGCACGAAGAAGGCACTTTCTTAGACAATCAATAGCAGCACAGACAGAACCTATAAATCAGGAGACACGAAAATCTTTAAATGGCACACTGAAGAGCCGGCTAAGTGCTGCGGGGGCCGACGTCCCTGAGGTCTGGGGAGAGAAGAGATTCGCCATCGAGTCTCCATCCCCGGAGGAGCCTTCATGAAAAACGTGGCTCCTGCGGAAGCTTGCTTCTCTGTGTTTTGTTCTGTAGTTGACTTACTTTCAGTTTTAGCTGCATAAAAATCATCTCTGAAACTATGTTTTGTGAAGAATTGAGTTTAACGGATGCCCTAAAATGCTCCGGTCCCTTTTTCTCTTTCAATCTGTCATGGGTCTTTGAGGTCTCCTTACTTTTTTAAAGTGGCCCTCATGGTCCATAGGATACCAACGGTCCATCTCTCCTGAGGTGGCACAGTCCTGCTGGAAAGGTAGTTTATACAGTTCCCGCTGGTATCGTGGCAGTGGCGCTGCGTTCTTTGAGCGCTGGGTTTGTCTGAATTCACACTCGCACACGTTCGTACACACAACCTGACTCGCCCCCCAGCTCTATAGCTCTCAGGGCTCACGCTCAGCGGGTGTTCCAACCCACAGGTGAGAAGTAAGACTCTGGTAATGGTGCGGTTTGGACAACTCCGCACCTTCCATTCCCTTTAGAAGTAGCTGCCACTGCATGGAAGCGAAGCAGTCACGCCACACCCTTCCTGGCGTAGAACCCAGGCTCCTGCGAGAGCTCCGAAGGGAACACTGCCTGGCCCCATAGGTCGCCGATAGGAAAGGCAGAGCTGAGGTTCGTCTCAGAAGTTGAGGTTAATGCTCGCACCTCCTCCAGGCTGCCCTCCGGGACTCCCCTAACCAGCCCCATTCCTTCCTCTGCTCTCCCACGGCACGCTCGCTGCACTCCCGTGCACCCCGAGAATTACTGGGCCCTGCACTGGGTGATTAGTTGTTTTGGTGCTTCTCGCCCTGCTCAGACTCACTTGGACCATTAGGCTGGTGTGTGTTTACAGTTATCTGAGTCTATGTATTCACACCCTCTAGCAGCTATAATCCTTTTAAGCGTTTATTCCAACACAACTGGACCAGGTGCTACAAAGAAATAAGGAAAATCCATCAGTCTTGAAACAGCACAACATCCCAGGCCCGTGATTTGGGGGAGATGCTCTGGCATAAACACACTATAAAGAGGATCGGCCCCTATTGGCTGAGGGTATTCCTTGTTTTGTCAGGTTGTTCAGAAATATTAAATAATTCCAAGAAAACCAACTACAATATTTTTTTAAAATATATTTTTATTGATTTCAGAGAGGTAGGGAGAGGGAGAGAGAGATAGAAACATCAATGATGAGAGAGAACCATTGATCGGCTGCCTCCTGCACACCCCAAGCTGGGAATCGAGCCTGCAACCCAGGCATGTGCCCTGACCGGGAATCGAACTGTGACCTCCTGGTTCATAGGTTGATGCTCAACCACTGAGCCACACCAGCCTGGCCCAACTACAACATTGTAGGTGTGTGTTTTTTTCAATATGGTGAAAAATGACGAATTCTAGACTAGAGCTGGCTAGGAAGCTGGGGGAGAGGCCAGTGGTCGTGAGGGGCAGACACGTGGGAACAGTTACATGGAGGGGCCGCTGCAGGTGTATCAGCCACAAGCGAGCCCTGGGCTGGCGACTCACAGGATCTTCTGTTGCAGGTGATTCCGGTGGAGAAGCTAGTGAAAGGGCGCTTCCAGGACAACCTGGACTTCATCCAGTGGTTCAAGAAGTTCTATGACGCGAACTATGACGGCAAGGAGTACGACCCCGTAGAAGCACGACAAGGGCAAGATGCAATTCCTCCCCCCGACCCCGGCGAACAGATCTTCAACCTGCCAAAAAAGTCGCACCACGCCAACTCCCCCACCGCAGGTAAGGGGCAGCAGTCGCCTCAGCACTGCGTCCTGTCCCATCAATGCTCCCGCCGTTGGCCTCCTGGTGCCTCTGTCCGTCTGGCCACGCTCCCCTCCTCGCCGGGGCCTCTCCGTGGCCGTCTGACGCCCGTGATCTAGCTGTCGCCAGGGCAGGCTGTTCACTTTACATCCCGGGGGCCGGGTGTTAAAATAACACCCGGGGTAGGTTTCATTTTCCTCGGATGTGTTTTTGAGACATTTCTAGTCTGTTTAGACTTTGAAATATTTTTACTGCTTAATTGCTGGCGGTACGTCCCAGAATATGAACCGATTTGTGCTTTTAAGTCTGAACCACCTGTGATCAAAGGCAATGCGGGAAGCCCACCTCCTCTCTCTCAGGGGCAGTGCCAGCTTTTACGTGATGATGCTCAGCAAGACTTGTTTTGTCCAAAAGGGAAGTCATTGAGGGTGAGTCCCTAGAACTTGAAAGTTTTAAACCTCCTGTGGACAGAAATCTTTCTAAAATACATTATAAATGCCCTTGCTCTAAGAAGCGGACTTTACCAGGCGGGTGTTCTTTTAAAATCAGGGTCCTGGTGATAAACACGAGCTGTGGGTACTGGACAGTGAAACAGCGGAATCCTCACAACCAGTTGTTTCCATCCCAAAGCCAGTGCTCACACCTGTGAAGCCGGTAACCCTAATTTCCCAAAGAACACCGAGTCCTCATTTATGCCACTTCCGCTCAGGGTGGGTTAGGAGTGGTTGTGACAGCGCTGCTATCAGACACACGTGCACACGCCTGCCGGTCACGGCGGTGGAGGCGAGAGGCCGCTGCATGGGTCTCCGTGTCCGTGCCCCGGAGCTGGAGAGAGGCGGAGCGAGAAGGGCAGTGCCATGAGGAACTGATGTCAGTGTCTGGGCAGAAAAGGGCGCGCTGGCCCCGGAGCTGGGAGGATGCCGGATGGAGGGAGGATGGGCATGGCCTGTCGGGGAAGGAGAAGGCAGGGAGCAGGGTGGTCACCAGTGTCTCCATCCCCTGAGGAGTCGAGTAAAATGGGGACAGGAGGGCCGCTGGTTCCTCGGGGGATGATGGGACCGGGTGGGCTGAGGAATTAGTGGAAGGAGATTGAGATGCGTAAACACCCAACTTGGAGCCATAGGGAGTATGAACTTACATAACAAACTCAGCCCAGATCTGTGGGAACATACATTTAAGAGACGGGGAAGCTGAGGACAAGGTAAACATCAGGGAACCAGGGAACAGAACGGACAGTGGGACGTTTTAGAGCGAGCATCACCAGCAGCCGAGAGTGCTGTGGAGATGGACCTCATGAGGCCTGAAACAGGCCAAGAAATCCGCCTGCTGGGAGCGACGAGTCATCCTTGGAGAACCCGTCCTAGTGCTGAGGGCGGCCCCTAGGTCCAGCGGCCCCAGAGGGCATGGCGTGTGACAGCGATGAGCATTCCTTCCGCCTCCGAGGGAAATAGAAGCATGTGTTCATGTCGGGGAAAGCTGACGGGAGCTTCAGAAGTGAGGTTGGGAGAACGGTCATGTCCTCCCTCTGTTTTGTTTGCTTTCGGGACAAGGCTGGTGTGTCAGCTG